TAACTGCATACTTCTCACTCAAGAAGGCTTTCGAAGAAGGTACGACATACAGTATGCCAAAATGTGTACAGCATACACTCCTCCCCCTGCAGCGCAATGTCCCTTCAACACCGCCGCCTTTCCTTGTCCTGGGAATCCATGCACAAAAGACAACAGCAACAGAACAAAGTACACAGCTACTCTAAAGAGAGGAGGAAGAAAAACATTCAAGAAAGGCTGGGAACAGAACAAAGGAAATCCGCAGCTAAAAGGCAAAGTGCCTTAAAGGAATTCAAGTGCTATAAAGTAACAAGGATCAGAGCGTCTCAAAAGACTTTAGAAGAGAAAGTGTGAGATGAACACTTTGAGAAGCCAGCTTTCCGCTAGTGTAGAGGATTTCCTCCACCACCTGCAGGAGACACTCTAGTCGTAAAGCCTTTTGAAGGCCCAGAGCAGAAATGGTGAGGAGGGACAGGAGAGCTAATACGAACAATGAGTGCTCTGTGGAACTTCCTGGGTTAAGATTCAACAGGTGCTTCCGGGGGCAACTTTGGCTCGGCTCATTCTCTTTTAGCCCCAGAAAGTACCAGGTGGAACACTGGGAAAATCAGGTGGGTTTTGGTGTCAGCTGCCACCTGCCTGTTCCCTGCTTTCTCAGCATATGTCTTTCTCAAGAAAACCAAAGGTGCAACTGAAAATTCCACAGGTTTTCACCATGGAACAAGCAGCAAACAAAAGGAAAGGGAGTCAGTGACCAAAGGCATTTCTAGTTAAAAACGTGTTTCTCACAGTGAGGTGGCAGTCACATAAACAGGCCCTTGGGAACAGGATGCCACCCAGATCCCCTGCATCCAGAGACTTTTAGGAAAGGCAGTGGTAGTGTTCAAGATGAATGCCAAGAGGTCCTCAGTAGAGCAGGAGTTCCCAAGCTGGATAAATTGGCAATGTCTGGAAACATGCTTGGTTGTCACAACTAGGTCAGAAGAAGGTTGATACTGGCATCTAGACTTGCCCGGGGAAGCCCTCCACGAAAAAGAACAATCCTATCCGGATGTCAGAAGTACCAAAGTTAAGAAACCTGGCTGTAGATTAACCCCATACGTGCAAGCACCTATAGAAATCTTACCTTAACCTTAGATCAACATTTGCCACCTCTCTGACCAAACAGATACCCTCTGGGGGGGCACACAGCAATAGTAGGCAGATGGGAAGTGACAAGAAAACACTGCATCTTCAAAGTGCCTGGCCACTCTCCTGGCACACTGGTTTAAGGATACTCCACAGCACTCAGGTGAGTAGATTGTTTTACAAGGATTAATAGGAGAAATATTAATAGAAGAAAGGTGCTTGCATGCACAAAAATCCATAGGAGTCACTGTTTTTAATGAAAGGAGTCACAGCAAATGAAAACAAGCAGTTTCAAAATACTCCAAAGAGAGAAAGAAAAACAGAAAACAAACAAGAAAGTTAAACAAGCAAAAACAGATTTGTCCCTGGGGCCATCCCACAGCTAAAAACAGTTCTCGTGCTCTAAAATGAATCCACGTCATATAGTATGTCTTGTTTTCCTACTTCTAAACATACAAGAAAAGGAAAAATACAAATATAGAGCTCAATGACTAAAAATGAACCCCCACTCCGATCAACAGCTCATCCTGCTCATCCAACAGCTCATCCAAGCAACAGCTCCTCCTGCACCAGCCTCTGCCCAGCTTCTAGCCAAGAGCGCAGCAGCAAGCCCTGGATTATCTCAACGAACCTCTGTCTGTATGCAAAGACCGGGATGTACTGTGTGTCTTTGCCACGTACACCAATGTGTTTTCCAGGGAGAGGCAAAACCTCTGATGAATCTATTCAAAGTGACCACAAAATCAACAGATTTGGGGGAAGGGCATGGATGAAACAATCAGTGGACACAACAGACCGTGCACACTGAATTCACAAAAGCCTCTGAGAGGAGAGACCCAGAGGCCTGTGCAAAAGGTCTAAGAACAGACAGAAAACTCTATAGGGGTCAAGAGAAGCCCAAGTTATAATCCAGGTAAAGCCTCACTGTCTGCCCGGGGAGCTACTGATCTCTCACAAACCATAAAATACAACCCTGCCACACAAACTCTAGGAAAAGCTTGGTGTAATCACGCGAATCTCACACACAGAGATGCACCAGGAACAGGGCTCCCCGCCCTTCTGTCCATGCAAACAGGCAAGTTTGTAAATGCCGAGTGTTTTGTATGTGATTATTTAATCATAAACGTTTCTAAGCCCCCAACTCTCTAAACTGCTTTATAAAGTGACAATATAAGCCCACTGTTAATTTATCCAGGCGACTCTGGCCAGGCAACTCAGTGTTTAAGACTCAGAATTTACCACCCCACCCTCTCCTGCTCACGTCCCCCACTTTTCCCACGATATATGGCCTAGTGGGTTGTCAGGAAAAAACATCTCACACCCTAGGAGGGCGCCCTGATTGCACCTCTTTGAAGATGAAAAGCAATGGGGTGTGTTTATTTGTACTCTGCTGCACAGTCTCATCTACCCAGTTGAGCTGTGCTAGGCTGAACATAGCTATTCAGCTAGTTAAAAAATAAATAAAGCCAACCCTGCACGCCATTAAGGTGATCTTTCCAGGAGAAAAGGTCAATACTCACTCTCCAGGGAGTGCTCATGGGGAAATGGAGCCTTTTCACTGACAGAAGGAGAAGGTCAGGTAGTCTTAGCAAAGGTCAGCAGGGAGGAGGTGAGAAAACCAACCACTCATCCATCTGGCATGGCCACCACAAAACACATCTTCCAATTCACATGCTGCGACCCACCATGTCCACCCACCTGCAGGAAAATGGGGCCTCTGACGATGGGATGGGACCTCTGAGGATGAGACCTGGGATAAGTCTCACAGGCAAGATACATTAAACATAATAACAGTCAAAAATCAATGCTTCATTTCCGTGACACAAACAATAAAAACAAAGGAAGAAGAAAACACACATGAAGATGTCTGAGATGCTTCCTGAACAACACAGCCCTCTTGAATTGTTCCAGGAATGTCAGCCCTCTGAACTGTTTCAAGAATGCCAGGGCTCAGACTAGGGTTTAAATTTGACCAGACACTAACAACAGGAGGCAGAAAACCCAAATCCCAGCTTTTCTAATTCCTCTTGTTTTATTAATGTCCCAGAAGGGAATCCAGAGGAAGGATGTAGGCTGGAAAGGTAGGGTACCTGGTCAAGCAGAGAAGGTCACCATTAGCAAAAATAACCAGCCCTGATTTCTGCAACCTCATATGACAAAGATGATGCTGAATACAAGACGAAAGATGTATATAATTCAAAACCACCTCCAGGTTTCTAAAACAAGGTCCACAAGTTAATCCAAAGCCCACAGATAAAGGAGAACCTCTGTCATCAACAGCTGAGCTATTCCTTTCCTCCTTCAGCTACTGCCGTCTTCCTACAATGACCATTTTATTTATTTTACCTTTAGTTACACACACACCAAATGACCACTGCTCACCACTGAGGGACACAGCTAACTTCACAACTTTTTACAAAGATGGACACTCGCATCAAGCAAGTCAGTGCCAAATGGAAAATGTAATAAATAACAGTGACCACAAGGCACCTAAAAATTGGCTTCCCTATTGTCTCCCCTGGGGGTTATTAGGGAATGTCCCATAGTTATGCAAAGTGATTGTGCAGATCCACGAGGTCTTTATAGCTGAGATACCCGGGAAATGAACTCGATTTGACAGCTTTCAAATAATTCATACCTGCTCAAGGCTGCCTAATATCCCCCCATTGGAAACCTCTCCCCGGGGGGTGCACCAAATAGTTCAAGAGAAACAAGATACTGTAGGGTCCCAGACCTGGATACAAATTCACAATAGCCACAGGGAGGTGAGCCCCTCCCTGGGAACCAGCAAATCCACAGACAGCTAAGTAGAATCTCAGAGCAGCGGGGATGATGTCATAGGGCTGGGGAAGAGGCTGCTTAGGGATTCTGAGGATGCTCTCGACCAGGGACTTTCAAGGAAGGGATGAGACTTCCCTTGAAAGGGTGACACACACACACACACAACACCATCACCACCACTACCAACAACAACAACAATCAAGTGGCTAGAGGCATTGGGGAAAATCATGCATAAATTAAAACGTGGGCGGTACCAATGACCTCGCCAAGCAAGCTTCTGCCTAAGAAAGTTCACTGAGCCCTGTCACCCACTTTCCGGACATCAAATGCCCAGAAATAAGCATCAGGGGTCAAGGGCTGGGGCGGGGCCGAGGAGGAGCGGCTGACAGCTGTGGCAGCAGAAAGGGGCAGAGAGGAAGGGCTCCAGGCTGGAATTCGGAGCGTGCCCACCTCAGCCGAAAACTTCCTGGGAACGGTACACTACCAGTGTATTGGGAGGGAGGCTCTACTCCCGGTCTCCAAGATGCACGCACTGGGTGATGCCCGGTGCACGCGCGTCAGACGGGCCCCCGCGTCCTCCCCCAGGGCCCTCCCATGTCAGGGCGCCCGCGGCAGACGGTTTAAGTAAAGGTTCTGCTCGCAAGATCTGCGCGGAGGACAAAATGAATTCACAGGTCCAGCCCTGTTTGTCTCGGTACGCCCAAAGCGAGCAGCCCGGAGGAGGAATGGAAGGAAGCAGGATGCTACTTGTTCCTGCGCGCTGTAGAGGTGGGGAAACTGAGGCAGGAGGCGCACGCCAGTGACTGGGAAGCTACCGTGGCGCAGAGCGTCCGGGAAGAAGGGATCAAGGAAGAGTTCTGCCCTCCCCTCCTCCGCGCCCCAACACACACAGCACACTCGCGGCCGCACTCGAGCTACGCCCAATCGCGGCTGCACACAAAGCCCCGCCCGCGCACACGCGACAACACACCCGGCGCGCTCGTCCACACAATAGCGCTGCGCGCGCCCCGTCGTGGCCCCTCCGCGGGGTCCCCGCCTGCCCGCCGCCCGGGTCGGCCCCGGCCCCTCGCACACCCACGCCCGCGCCCCAGGCCCGCGCGCCCCCGACTCACCCGCGGCGCGGCTGCTCAGCAGCAGGCACAGCGGCCCCAGAAGCCACATGGCCCGGCCGCCGCTCCCGCTGGCCCGCGCCGTCGTTGCCCCGCGGCCTCGGCGCCGACCCCGCCCCTCGCTCCGACCCCGCCCACGCCCCGACCACGCCCCCTGTCCTGGCCACGCCCGGCGCCGGCCCGGGCCCCGCCCCGCTGTGGCCCAGCCACTCAGAGAAGTTTTGCCAGCGCCTGGCTGCACTTTTGCCGCTCCTGCCCGGCTCTGGTGTCCTGGCTCCAATAGGCCACGAGGCGATCGCGGAGGCTCTGGCCTTTCGGTCTGTCGCTGCCCACCCTATCTGGCTGTGAGGACCTAGTAACTACGCGGGTCCGGGCCCAGCGTCCTTTTTCTCCGGCTTTGCTCCCTTCTCCTGCATCTTCTGAAGATGCAGCTCAATACCTCCCTGACCTCAACTTGAGTTCTTTACTGGACTATGAAGGGAGTGCACTCCAGAAAGGGAAGGCAGTTGGAACAGAGTCAATTCTTACAGGAAAATGCGTGGTTTATTTTTAGTAGCGAATGTGGAAGACCAGATGTCTTCAAATTTTAAGATGCATCGGACACACTTGATGACCTTGTTAAAATGCCTAGGGTCTGAGGCTCTACACCTCCAAACTACCAAGTGGTTCAGAGCAACACAAATGCCCAGCTAGAAGCTACATGAATTATTTCATCTGCTTGAGGTCCAGAGGAGCAGTCAGGTCCCAGTTTTCAGGAAAGGCAACAAACGTGGAGGCAGAGACCCAGTTGCAAGAACATCCACGTCAATGCAACAGGGGCTTCCAGTCAGTACCGATGAGAAGTCCCACAGGATTTAGATAATGAAATAAAAATAGAACTTTGTTTTTATGCACTGCTCTAAAAACAAACAAAGCAAATCAGCAGACACAAAAGCCTAACGCAAGTATTATAATTGCCAAAAACTGAAACACAGCTCAAACATCCATTAACTGTCCAACAGATCCACAAATTATAACATATTCTACAATGCAACAATCTGGATAATCTCAAAAGCATACTAGGTGGAAGAATTAGTCCTCGAAGAGTTGTATTAGGTGTTATGTATAAGACTCATAGGCAAGAGAAAAAAAATAGGGAGCAGAACATTAAAACAGTGGTTAGCAGCAGAGGAGGGGGCAGGGACTGTTCTATTGGTTGGTATTGTGGTTGCATGACTCTGCACATTTGTGGAAACACAGAACTTCATCTCTAAAAGCTCCCCCTAAAAGGGATGACATTTACTGTACATAAATTGTCCCTTTCTGGAGAGTCAGGAGGATATGGGTGTCTGGCTGATGAACTTGCCTCTAGTGTATTATAAAGGATGCCTACATCAGGTCTGCCACAAGCTGGGTGCTATAACCCAAAGATGCTAAGAATGAATACTTTGTAATCACCTGCGCTACTCTGGACATAAAAATGCTACAGTGGCTTAGGACAAAATTTTAAAAGACCAACAATGGCTCAAGGTAACAAAAAAATGCAATGTGATGTCAGAAAGCAGAGCAGCTTCCATTTTACAGAGTAGTTTGTCAAGTATGGAAAGCATAAATAGATTCTCCGAAAGCCTTAGCAGTCAGAGGCTTTATCCTGGGATCTATCCCATGGGCTATGGAGAGTTTTAAAGCCCCTAAAATGTTGTTATGCGAAATTTCTGGAGTATGAGAAGCCATGCATTTTTCCAAAAAGCATAGTGAGAGGCCTCCTGCCTTTGATAATTTCCCTGACAGCTGTTCATTTGCCTCCTAACCTAAGGACCATGGCAAGACAATGGACCCAACCAGGGCCGTCTGTCTTGTTTCCTCATGTTCTTTTAGGCACAGGAACTTCAACTCGGAATGGTTCAGTGTGTCTGGCTTACTCCCCAGCTCTTCCTGTTCTCTTGCTCTTTCTCTCATTCTCTCTTTCTTTCTGTTCTCTCTCTCTCTCTCTCTCTCTCCCCTTCTCTCTCTCAGTCTCTCTCCATGTTCTGCTAAAAATATTAGCGTCTTTGAAATCACTTGAAAAAATATGAAGCTCTCTTCAAGTTCAATTGTTATTTTTTATTAAATCGCTTCTAATCTCCTCACGTATAAACTTGATAAGAGTTGAAACCATTGTCTCCCTTTTTCCCCCAAATTGATAACTTTTTTTAAGTTTTGTAAGAAGTGAGGTTACACACACACACACACAGAGAGAGAGAGAGGGAGAGAGAGAGAGAGAGAGAGACAGAGAGACAGAGAGACAGAGAGAGAGACAGAGAGAGAGAGAGAGAGAGAGCGAGCGAGAGAGAGAGAGAGAGAGAGAGAGAGAGGAGATTGAATCCAGGTCTTTTGAACTGAGCTATATCTCCAGCTCTTTTTACTTTCTAATTTGAGACAGGGTTTTGCTAAGCAGCTAAGTTGTTCAGGCTTGGTTTAAACTTGTGATTCTTCTGTCTCGGGCTCTAAAAGTTTTTCTTTCTTTTAATTTTGTGATGTTTAACTGATAATGGAAACTGCATATTTATACAGTATCATATATTTCAATATATATTCAAATTATATAATATTCAAAACAAGATGTGAATATATCTAACACCTCAAATATCTATCATTTCTTTATGGAGAAATGTTAAAAATCCTTCCTTCTAGTTTTCTAAAAATAAATATATAAATTATCATTTGAAACCATTCTTTCACATAGAGAGTTGGGCAAACAAAATCTGAAATACTTCAAAAATCCAAAACTTTTTGAGCACTGTTATGACACTTTGATATTTTGTTTCATGCACAAATGATTAAAAATTTTGTATGAAATTAGCTTCAGAGCCAGGTGCAGTGAAGGTACACAGCTGTAATCCCAGCTACTGTGGAGACCAGAGCAGGAGGATTGCAAATTTGAGATCAAGGTAAATCACTGAGACCCTGTGTGTTGGTTACTTTTCTCTCATTGCTGGGACCCAAAACTAAGGAAGGCAAGATTTATTTAGCTCACAATTTGTGGAGGTTTCAGTCCATAATCAGCTGGCTCGATGGCAGTGTGACATGGTAAGGGGTAATATGCTGTTCATGGTGGCAGAAGGTAACAAAAGCAACAAGGACAGGCTGGGGATTTAGCTCAGTGGCTCAAGCACTTGCCTGGTAAGTGCAAGGTTGATCCCCAGTACCAAAAAAAAAAAAGCAACAAGGGCAAAAAGAGGAAAAGAGCAATCCTCTTTTCCTCCCTTATATTGTATGCAGCCTTCCCACCCTAAAATGAGTCCGTTACTCACACATCATCTTCTTGCACTTCTCTTGCATAGACGGAGGGTTTTTTCAAAGTGAAGACCCTAAGCCCTGCTGAGTCACTTAGTTAAGCTTCTAAACTTCTCAAGTTGACCCAATGAATCAACCACTATAAAATTCTAGAGGGTAAACAGCTGCCCTAGGGCATGTCCTCTATACCCTAAGATGTAGAACTTAATTAAGTTTCTAAACTTCTCAAATTGACACAATGTATTAATCATTACACTTTGTCTCAGAGTAAAACGATCAGTTCCTCAACCTATCTATCAATCAATAAGGCAAAGGATATAGCTCAATGAGAGGCCCTGGTTTAGTACCTAGCGTTACAAGAGAAAGCCCTCCAAGCTATGTGTATGTGGAGCATATGAAATATCAGTGAACCTTCTTTTTAGACTTGGGTTTTGTGTTGGTTGCTTTTCTCTTGTTGCTGAGACAAAATACCTGATGCCCAAAATTAAGAATGGAAAGGTTTATTAGCTCTCAGTTTGTGGAGGTTTCAGTCTGTAATCAGCTGTCTCCAAGACAAGGTGACATGGCACAGGTACAACTGTTCATGGTGATGGAAGACAACAAACACAGCGACAGCAAAAGGGAGGAACACACAGAGAAGACTCTTTTATCCCTTATATTGCATGCAGGATACCCACCCTAGGGTCTTTCTCAAAATTGATTTTTTTAAAAAAAGCAGAATGCGTTATGTCTCCTAGCTACCATTCTGCAGTGCTGAAGGAGTAAAGGAAGAATTTGTCTCTCTGTGACTCTCCTATCTAACTCTCATAGTGCTCATACATTTTCATGTTTGTTCCTTCCAGCAGTCCCAGTAACACCACATGCAAAAGTAGCACAAGATGAACTTGAAGTTTTTTTTTTTTTTTTTGAGATGAGCTCTGGTGGTCACTTTGCCCATGGCATACTAGCCGTATGATTCCAGGCCTTATCCGTGAATTGGATGTAACAGAAGCATCTGGATCATGGAATTGTTCTAAGGATTAAAAGAGTCAACATATCTGCAGTCAATGGCACAATGCCTTGCACTTACTAACTGCTCAAGAAACATGAGCTCCTGTGGTTGTGGTTCACACTACAGGCACCTACTGAGGTGGCAAGTTTCCAGGATGGCTCTCAGAGACCCTCCAACAATCCCTGCGGCTGTTCCATGTGACCAGTAGATAATGTGGAAGAGACAGTGGGTAACTTCCAAGCCTGTCTCACAAACGACATAGTGATTTCTTCCTTGCTTTCATCAAATAACCTCTCTGAGCTCATGGAGTGAAGATATTTGAACAACCCATGGACAAGAAGAACTGAGCTCCCTGTCAACTTGCCAACCATGGTCATGAGCTACTTGGGCAGCAGTCCGACAGGCTTGGTGAAGCTTGCAGGTGACCATACTCCTGACCACCTCTCCCTCATGTTCTTCTGAGCTGGAATAGAAACCACCACCCCCTCAAATTACTGGTCCATAGAAACAGATGGAGATGATCCATGCTTATTGTTCTTTTCTGCCACTCATGCAGCAATAGATAATCAGTAAAGCTACCCTTGTAGCAAAGAATAGTAAAATCCTCCAGTCATTAGCCACTGTTATGGTTTGTATCTTGATCTCCCCTAAAGCCTCATGCAGTCATGGAGGCAGGCCTCTAGAGTTTGTGATTGATTCACAATGCTGGGATTATGGATGTGAGTGCTACACTCTCCCAGGGGTGGGTAGCCTGCATATAATATAAGAGAAAGAAAGAGGCTTTCTCATTCTCCTCCTCCCTTTTTTGCTCTTGTTGATTTTGCTGTTTTCCACTGCCATGAACTGTTTCTCCTCAGCCAGGAGCCACC